GATGCTAAAAATGGGCCGAGTGATGTGGCCACAACCTTAAATGGGAACATGACAAGCTTCCAATATTGGCCAACCAGTCATCAACACATTCGACAGTCGGTCTGCACCGATGACAAGGAAAGTGGGCAACAAACACACCAGTCTTGACAAGGACCACATGTTTAAGTCGATGCTTGCAAAGCAAAAAAACAATAAAGCGGAAGCTAACGGGTAACTCACTCACTTGGCTTTCCATCATCTAACATCGAGTCACTATTGGAATCAGCCCAAATGTTAGAAACCACTTCCACAATGTGGATCCTACAAATTCCAGGAGAGCAGTTATTTAACAACAAAGTGATAGCTAAAGATGAACAGACGCAATCACACGCACCTGCGGTGGCCGACCACGAGCGTGACAATCTTCTCACATATCATTCCACTTGGGTATTTGAAGAAATGGCCCAATTCGATGCAGTTCGTCCAGACTGTGCACCACGTGGGAAGCACTACAATTTATTGGAGAAAATGGACATGACTGCATAATAAAAGACTAGCGAAATGACAAATACTGCAGACATGAAGAATAAATCCAACTAACTCGGACGGATTCGCCTTCAGAAACCAACCATCTTGAAACTAGTGAGCACCACTAATGTTTGACTCGCAGTCTCCAACACTTTGCAAATTTGGGAAACAGAGGAGGTGGAGTAATCGTTACGACGGAGACACACGAATATTTTGAGTGGAAAGCAGAAAAGCATGCTGCGTGGCATGCCAGTTGGGCTCGCACCACCTTCCGACCCTCAAGGAGCTGCATGGGGCTTTCTGGTGCCTGTGGAGGAAGAACGATATCTATAGCCCGATTTGACCTACCAAAGCATGCCATAATTAGTAAAGCAATTGCCTACCAGAGCACAAGCTTGTCTTTCACTAACCTGCGACGTTTTAGGAAGACGAAGAACCGATAAAGACGCATTTGACAAATACTGACCACCAAATACTGTCTTGCTAAGTGGTGCTTCACCAACGGCGGAAAACAATCGTCAATTTGTTAATGGAAGTGTTAATCCAGAGAGCATTCCAAATAATAACAGGAGTGTCGGCACATGGGTCGGCGTATCATAGGCACGAAAAGCAAACGCGCCTCTTTATAAGTCAGCTCAGAAAAATTATATTTCAAAATTTTACAGCCTAAAATTGTTACACTTAGCAATGTTTAGGAAATACCCGGAAATACTTGTGCTTAAAACAGTGCCAAGCATTAAAGCAGCATTTTCTAATATTGCTTCGTTGAAATAATTCACTATAATTTACTCATAGAAAAGCAATAATAGAGAATTGGGTGTAAGGATTTCAAAGAGTGTTTTCACAGCTTTAATTTTTAAGGTGATTTTAGTGTTTTAAGTACAAAAGTTACTGCATTCACACCAAATTAGTGAAATAGATGTTCCGCGTAACATTTGACCGCAGAGCAAACACTAGTTAAGCCACAAAGGAAGGCAAGCTGTTTCGTACTGTATACTTTTTGATATAACTCGAAACCATGCATCAGTTCAATACCGCTACCTCTGTCTTTTCAACTACCATATGCAAGGCAAAAACCCATTTACTTAATGTTTTTTCACCAGCCTGGTTATAGTGCATGAACATCTACTTCATTTGCTAATTATTTTAGACAACGGCGTCACCTCAGTCTTCGTCGAAGTAGTAACCGGCTGAAGCGCCTTGAAGAACACTGACACTGCAATAAACACTTACTTAGACCTAATCCAGTGACCAACGGCCACCACCAAATAAATGTAATAATTGTGCTAAGGTAAGAAACCAATGACATCAAATAAGGAAATGCGTCACAACAAATCAAGTGACATGTAAAACTTTATCTAACACACATGTCGACAAGGCTACAGCAGCAACACCCCCGAAAGTCGTTGGAGAATGCATGACTGCTGCTACTTGAGAAATGCAAGGATAGCTCACGGATGGAGGAGGAATCGAAGGAAACAGCTAGTAAGTGCCGGCTGGAATCTAGGCATCTCCTACTTGCCTGTCAAGTGAGGCGTTTGTGCAATGAATGCGCCCTTACACGAAGGAGAACAATGGCCCACCCAATCACCTGAACCACCTACTCGTCCCTGCATTCCGCTACTTATCTTCCCCACGCCTCTCTCTTCACACGTATCAACCGGTCCAGATTTGCGTTCTTCACAAGAAGATGACTTCACAACTGGTGATGACATCGTTTCCATGTGCATGCCCTATGTCTTGTTATTCACTC